AAGCAAAGATGCAATCTGGAGAGCACATGTGATGACACTACAGACAAAGTGCATTTTTGGTGCAATCTTTTTTTCTTTTTTCTTTTTTCTTTTTTTTTTTTTTCAGGAAATTAGTGCAATCACTTTGTTACAAGAAGATGAAAAGAGAACCAAGGAAGTGATAGCAGAAGCTTGAGAGGCTGTTCTACATTGAATAACTTCGCCAATTTTTGTCGTTGATTTAGGTTCTATTTTCCACATTACCAAGACTAGAAGCAGTGAGATATTAAACTTCGGCTTAATAAGGGCCCATTTCTTCTATATTCAGAGTTCCCTTTCTTTTCTCCTTCCCCCCCCCCCCCCCTTTTTTCTAGTTCAATCTCTTTCTTATTTGGAGAAGATAATGTATTGCTAATTGCTATTGCTTTTGTATGATTGAAAAAGAAGTCTACTGGATGGCCAAAAAATTAAACGAAAAGGAAGTCTAATGGATTCCAACACATAATGAATTTTGTAATTAGATCAATTGCTTTTCTTTCAACCAAAAGGATAAAAATTTGAGAAAATCTAAAAATAAAAATCTATTACAAGATTTGATTCTAACACATAAACTAGCAGCAAAATGTTAATTAACCAAGGATATTATGCAGCATACACTAGTAATTTAAAATGGTAGAACATTAACAGCGCAAATATGTGTAGGTTTGATAATTTAAAAAATGTAGATGTTGGTTCAATGAATAGTGATAAAGTAAAGAAAATAGGATATAAATTTACATAATAAAATGTAGAACTAAAATATATTAAAATTTTAATCTAAAAGAAATTCAAGTTGATTAAATAATAAAATATTAATTTATTAAGAAAGTAGAATACAAAATATAATCAATCAAACTACTCTAAAATAATAATAAATAATTTAAAACACTATCATTTAACCAAAAAAATGTATGTTGCATGTCTTTCAAGTGGCAAAGAAATTGGTATATAATATCAGTGCATCAATTGACTAATACAACACTCCTACTCTTGGTCAAGAAAACAAAAGCATTTCCATCTTTGTTGTTGGCTTCGGTATCAATCTATAATGTCAAGGAAGAGGTTGATTTGGATTTATCATACAATTGTAGGATATTCTTTTGGCTATAATGTTGATAAACACACAGAAATCAAATAATAGATAATGAGTAAATATATATTTGATCTATAATTTTTTAATATTTGTATCATGCATAATATTTTAGTACCAAATTTAGTATCTAACCCCTATATAAGGGTTATGAAATTATAAATAAATCAAATGTATTATTTTTTGGAAAAAAAATCAATAATTTTAGTAAAAAATAACCATGTGATACTATCTAAAGGTCAAAAATTTTCAATCAATTTTATAATGGAGCTAGTTGAATTTGTAGTAGAATGATGAGAACAAAAAATACACACTTCATTTCATTTCATAGGTGCATTCCATTGTTTTATTGGGCCAAAGCAGTTACTTGATTTCACTCTGATGATTAGAAGTACCAAGTGATGATAAGAACAACTCAACCATCATGGGAAAAACTTGAATGATTTTCTTGAATGATTTTTTTCATTACTTGGGCCACCCTGTTTCTGAATGTTGATTCATCTTTCCATGTGTATCATACAAACTGTCACTCCATGCCTCCATGGATCAACTCCCAGAATATTCAGGGATAATTTTACATGATAAATAACTAGAACTCATCATCTTGGAAGAACAAAAATATGCTGGATGTGAAAACAATAATTCCAAAACTACAAAAAGAGAGCCATGTTTTCTTCCAGGCATACGTCTAGCTCAGCTACTGGAACTTGGTATCTCCCTCTCATTTAGGGACTTCGTTGGCTTTCTCATCATTTAGTTCTTTCTCACTAAAGAGAATAGAGATCCCTAAGTACTAGTAAACTTCTTTGTGATGGCTTCACGTGTTGCTGCAGGTATGCCTGACTATCATTAGCCACCGTCTCTTCATCTATTCCATGCATGGTATGTGATTCTGACAAGCCATCCTCCCATTGATGAGGCAGGAACAAGGAAGGACGATTTGCCTCTTTAATTTGCCAGTCAAGGAGGACCATCTTTGTTGCAGTCATCATATCTGGTTCACCACCCTAGAGATTGACCATTCATAGAAGCATATACATTTGCCAGTCAAGGAGGACCATCTTTGTTGCAGTCATCATATCTGGTTCACCACCCTAGAGATTGACCATTCATAGAAGCATATACTTCAGTAAGAATTTACAATTGAAAAGGCAACACAGATAGGGATCCACGTAAGGAAAGCTAGTTACAAAATGTTGCAGAAATTCATTTAAAATTACAAATATATGATAACAATGGAAAGCTAGTTACAAAACCACAGAGTAGCTTACCAGTCCTTCATCTAGCATGCTTCTTCAAGGTGCTTGTTCTTTGCACACTTCAGAACTTCTCCAATATGTTCAGAAGCATCCTCCAAGTTTGTGACACGTAACTGGAAGAGGGCCAAAGTAATCTACATTCAAATAGCTAGTAGATTTCTGAGATAAATAACCTAGTAGATTGATAGACTGGTAGAATATACAGTTGTTACTAACTGTCATTCACCTTGTTTGTCCTTTGAACAAGTCAAAGTTAAGTCTTGGTCTAGGCGGATAATATTTCTCTTACATGCCCATGTTTGGAAAACCAAACTAAAGATAAAAATGTTGAATTTGTAAAATGAATGCTTTAACATTTGTCCACACAGGTTATAACAGCATTTGTAATTATTTGAATAGTTCTAAGAGTCTAAAGTAGTGGATGTGCAAGCATTAACTTATATGGTGTTCTAATATATACTCTCACATGAAATATTAACTCTTGCAGGCATTTTAACATTTATTGTACACATTGGAACTGATAATGCTAAATATTGTGCAGTATGATACACAAAAGAACCTTAATTTTTCAGCTCTCTTAAGGCTATGGCAATAAAAAGCTTTCTTTAGGTTTGTTTATATATAAATTATCACTAGAGATTCCACAGGATTTCCTTTTCTCCAGGGAATTAGGTACTCAGTTCTTGCTGTAGTTGCTCTGAGAAATAACAATAAATTAAACATACCATTGCCTAACTATTGTGAAGGGCAGAAGAAAGTGCAGGCAATTAGCTGATCGAACATGGCATACCCTTTAGTACAATATTTGTTTCAGAGTCACTGTTCTGGTAAACAACTCCAGGGTAGTCAATGGAGATCATTTTTGTGAGTGTTATGTACTGCCACAACTTAGTCTACCCAAGAATCCAGCAACTTTGCAAACCTTTTAGAAAAGCAAACAATTATATTAGCTGAACCACTGACTTCATAAACGAAGTAGATAGATAGATGCCTAAAATATAACAGAAGTTAAAAAATCAAACAGTTGCAAGATATTCATTTGGCTACAATGTTGACAAACAGATATGGTGCTATACTTAAAGGCATCCAGAGAAATCAGATTTTAGATAAGAGTTAATAAACATTGATAGAGTTTGGAACATAGTGATGGGCACATTTATCCCTTCAAACATTCAAGGGCATAGAAACACAAATTTTCATGAATAATGCAACAGAAGAAGCCATAAAGAGGCAGCACATTTTTAGGACCTATGTTAATAACAGAAGACTTTCCATCATTAGGATAACAAATCCCACAAATATTGCTTGCTCGTCACTTGTTATGAAGGCAAATTGTGTCAAAGTTGACAACAGAGAACCTCGTGTGCAACGAGAAAAGAAAAGACAAATGATAATGCTGAGTCAATACAAGTTAGTAGCTAAAAATGCAGAAAATATACAAAGTACTTTGCATGGAATATTTTTCTAGGTAGATTAAGGTTTTCCTTCAACATTTGCCTTAAACTGAAAGAAGGGGAGCTTCTCCAGCATTTGTGTGCGTGTGTGTGTGTGTGAGAGAGAGAGAGAGAGTGAAATGTATTACTTACCTTGCAAAAAGACCTATTGATGCAAGCATGAAATGCTTTCATAATATTCTAAGCCATCCCTTTGTAGCCCAAGCGTAAACAATCTCACAGCGAAAAGGGGGAACTACAAGTGTTCACAAGTTGTCGCAGCCTTATAAATACAGCTAGAAAATGAGACTGAACTTGTTTAACAAAAGAATCATGTGTTTATGCTTGCAGTTTTCTTTCAAATGCTTCTCTAGATGAAGGCATCTTGTACCTTGTGGGTCCCTAAAATGTAGCATCCAAAACCTGTAAAAAGAAATATAAATAAAGAATGGATTGACACAAGAATTCTTTTCAATCCTCTTCACATTTGAAGGACAGCAAAAGCTATGCATTAAACATAGTAAAATAAAGAAACCAAAACTGATAAGGATTTATGAAACAGAAAAATGTTTGACAGTTCCTATAGATAAATAACAGAAATGACATATCCTATTTTTCCCTAATGGTAGCACCAAATTCCCAACTGGTGTGTTAAACAACGAGGGCAGAAGGAAAAAAATTGAAGGCAACTTCTGTTGAGTCCTTAGACAATTAAAGAAGATGGACTGACCTGGAGAACAACATCTGAGGAGTCAATACCCTAAATAGGTTTTCTCTTATCCTTCTCAAACATGGTGTGCCAAACTAGATCCCTGAATCCCTTTTCTCCACTTCCTCCACTGAAAGTAGAGGCACCATACTTCTACTCGAAGGCACCTGCAGAGGTTAACACCAAAAGTAAAGCATATAATTAAATTATGTTTTGAGTTTCAGAAAGTAAGGGTAGAACTAAGAAATTTCTTCACATTAAGGATTACCAGCTTTACGAAGTAAATACTTGTAATCTGCTGCCCAGAGCTAGCATTTCCTTTTCCACTTTAGTCCAGATGCATCCTCAAAATGCATGGTGTCAAGAAGATAAACTTCGGCTTGCTTGACAGATGTATCAGATCAAAATTAGTTAGACAAAATTCAGTTTAAAGAAGACAATAGGAAAATGACATGCTAGTTAGAATATATATACCTCAGCTACTTTTGGAAGGGTAAGAACTAAAAATGATACTGTAACAATATGGCACCATTTTGCCCTTTGTTTATGATTATTACATCAACTCTGTATAGATCCAAAATCTAAATAAGGATTATTGATTTTGTTCATTAAAGGTGATTTCAAAGCAAGCAGGTCTTACCATATGCCTGATATATGTTGTGTCTTCACCAATATAAAAATGCTTATTTAGAAAGGAACAAGCTCATAAGAACTATTTTTTCGCACATCATTTGCACATCATAAGAAATTCCACTCTGCTATAAAAAGTGACTGAAGATCAGAATACATATTTAAACAAAGCTATTTTGATAGGAATTTTGCCCCAGTAAAAAGAGAGAGCAATCAAATACCTGTTTGGATTCTGTTAATTAGTAGCAATCCACTAGCTTCTCATCCCCGGCATGCTTTTCTAACACAGCACCAATGGAACAAACATCAACCTGCCCACAGATGAATGTAACACATATGCCTATATCCAAGGATGGCCATTACAATTTTCTTTTGAAACAGGCATGATCATTGATGAAGTTTAGCCATAAGTTCAATTAAAAAAAATGTGAATCAAAATACTATTTTGTAGTATTATACTATCACTAATAAGGTTCAAAACAAAGATAAATAGCAATATCTCACAATTTCAGCCAAAAATGCTTATTACAAGAAAAGCAAAGATGCAAATGTAGCAAAAGAAATACCAAAGGAAATAAAATAGATCTTTACACAGGTTTGAAAGACAATTACACAAATAAGAAACAAACAGTTCCACTTAGAATTTGACATTTAAACACACACAAAAAAAGAAAAAAGAAAAAGAATAGAAAAACAAAAAACAACAAGTGTATCTATATTAAATTGAAAACCCAACAACAACAGGAGCACGCAAATGTGATTCCCTCCGGCTTTCTTGTGGTAACAGAGTCCAACTCCAGCTTGCTGCCAATAGGTAGAAGAAACAAAAGATTTTAAAAAGAAAAGACCGAAAATGAAAACATAAAAAAAAAAAAAAAGAAAACTCCTACTGAGTTGAATCAGAATCAAAAATGAAAAATTGAAGCTAAAAAGGCATACATTTGCACCGCCCAATCACCAAAGAGCCTGCACTCTTTTGCTTCTTAGCCCATCCTAAGAGATTCTTCTTCTTCTTCATCATCATTGTTGTCGTCATCAGACATTTTTACTTCTTCTTCATTAATGTCAGTGTCGCAGTCACGGTAAAATTTACAGAAGGTAGAAAGGACATCCTTTGCATTGGACTGGTCCCATTCCAATGATTCCCAGCATTCTTTTGTGTCTACGCCAATTCCTTTGAGGGAAGAAGGCTGGCCATTGTCAAGTGAGGAAAGATGCAGAGGAATCCTCTTTAGCTTCTTACAGTAGCCAATCTGCAGAACGTTAATGGAATCACAAATCAACACACTGGAACTGCTACAGATGCTCTTCAATTCGGGCAATTGAAATAATCCTAACCCTTGGAGCTTGGGTAGAGTGATTTTTTCTAGGGCTTCTTTTTCTTCATAGGTCGATGATGATATCAGCTCCTCCATTTGGTAACAGTATCTAACTTCAATAGTCTCTAGAGATTGGAAGTAGCCAAGCAACCATCCAGATGAGAATACTTTCTTTAATTTAGGGCATTGAGTCAATTCAATTGTTTTAAGAGAGAAAAAGTTGGTGGGACGGGCCGATAAACCAAGAACTTCTTCATCAAACACAGATTTCAGATTCTCTAAGTCCCAAAGCCTCAGATACTCAAGGGTTGGAAGTGGGTTAAACCCCATCCAAAAAACACTCACTATTTCTTGGCACCTCCCAATTACAATCCTTTTGAGGGAATCACAGATCAAGACAGTAGTAGAGCCACGATAAATGCTCTTCAATGCGGGTAAACACAGCAACTTCACCCATTCTAACTTTGGTAGAGTGAGTTTTTCTAGGGCTTTTTCTCCTTCTTCTTCATATTCGGACCATATTATCTCCTCCATTTGATCACATTCTGTAACGTAAATGGTCTGTAGATTCTGGAGATACCGCAACAACCTAAGCGGCAATAACTTCTTTATTTTTTCACATTTCACAACTTGAATTCTTTGAAGGGAAGAAAAAGTGCCAGCTGGCAACCAGTCCAAACTTCTCACATCCTTGCAGTCCAAGATGTAGAAGCCTTGTGCATCAGAAGGTAACGAGTTAAGCTCCTCACATATATCAATATGACAGCATACAACTAAATTCATATCATTTGAAAATGTTTCATCATAAAAGTACAAATCATATGGACTGCAGCTTCCAACAACAATTCTGTATTGATTTAAAAACTTTCTTTCAGACTTAATAAAGAGGCTCATATCATCCAGTGTAGACAACCGGCCTTCGAAAGATTCCAACTTCCTCAACCTTCCAATCTCCTCCCATTTCAATGGTATAGTCCCTTCTACTCCTAAACACTGAAGTTTGGAGAGATTTCGTAGCAAACCGTCAGGTATATCAGATAACATTCCACCAAGCCAAAGATATTTTAGATTGGTTAACATGTTGAGACCTTGGGGTAGTTCTTTAATTGATGTCCCATAAAGGCTTAACTTTTTTAAGCCTCCAAGGTTGGATAAAAATGGTACCTCTTCTAAGGACTTACAATTCTCCAACAGTAGTGTAGTAAGAGACTCTAATTTAGAAACAGAACTCGGCAACCTATGTAGCTCGCGATTGCCAGAAAGATCAAGGATCTTCAGCCCAGGCATATGATCAAAAAAAGCATCTGAAATTGTTGTAATATTGTTATCGGACAACAACAAGGTTGTGAGCATTGGACACTTGGGAGACGACATGCTTGAAGGAATTTCTCTAATGTTATTATTCATTAAAGAAACCTTCAAAAGATCTTCTCTCCATTCATCCTCCTCCGGTAGCTCTTCCAAGGCCATGCCAGCTTTCACCATGAATTGAGGATGAATAATCGTTAATGCCATTTCTCGGAGAAGATCATGCATACTCACCCGATCTTCCTTGTTTTTGAATTTAACCACTGCATGCTGTCCCGCCAAATAGCCATTCTGTCCCAACCAACAGCTTGTGGGTTTAATCAATTCCAACATGCAATTGTCTATCAACTTCCGAATAATAGAATGGCCCTCACAAATCATTAAGTGCCGAGAACCCCTTTCATCTGTTATAAATCCCTCCTCAATCCAAAACTCAATCAACTCCTTTTTTTGGATTTCATGATCCTCAGGATAAAATGCACAATATGAATAACACTCCTTGTATTGTTTTTCTAAGCGATCATAACTGAATTTCAAACGATCAACAATTTCTTCAGATTTGCTCAATTCTTTACTTGCCATCTCCCATGAGTAACGATCAAACTTTCCTCTCATGGTTTTTGCCACCACACCAATAGCAAGGGGTAGACCATTACATTTCTTCAAAATCTGATTCAAAAAAGGTTCTATATCACTTTTGTATCTGGGATAGGACACCACCTCACTTCCAACTTTGTCCAAGAATAATGCTAATGCTTTATCATCTAGAAGAGGCTTCACATAAATCTCCTTACACTGCATTTTACCAGCAACCTCTTGTGATCGTGTTGTGATCACCATCTTGCAAGCATCATTTCCATTTGGATCAAGGAATCCAACATCTTCTAGAGAAAAAGGCTCCCACACATCATCCAGAATTAAAACATAACTGCCCTGTTGCAAGCTTTGTAATATCCATCCTGCAAGCTTAATTGCATCTTCATCCACATCCTTCAGGTTTAATCCCAAGTTTCCTGCAATGCTCTTCTGAAACTTCAAAATATCAAACTGTTTTTTTTGTTGGAGAACAATATCAAAGTCTCTGGATACCTTTACCCAAATAACATTCTTAATTGTGGGTTCTTTTAATAGTTGGTTGTGGACTTGCTTCATGATTGTTGTCTTGCCCACACCACCCATTCCACAAACTGCAATTCTTGTAACCTTGTCTTCCCTTAATAGTTGCAGAATTTCTTCTTGTACCTCCTCCCGTGCAATGCATTTTTCAGCAGGCATTGGAACTCCTTTTTTTGAGTGATCATCTATGACCAAACTCACACTAACATTAGTGAATTCTTTTCCTTCCTCAAGCATTTGCTTCAATACTTCAATCTTTTCCTCGATGTTGGTTGATGAGGAACATTCCCCTTGGCTGATCAGATCTTCAACCTTCATGATAACTATTTGGCTTGCTTTCTTCAGCCAGTCTTCAACTTTGTTCCACGCAATCTTTCCAGGTTGCCTAAGTTGAGCCTTCAAATCTGCCTCAATTTTTTCCTTTAAGTGCTTCACCTCCTTTTGCTTATTTTCCAATACACTCGCACAATACTGGATTGAGTGATCATCTATGACCAAACTCACACCACAATTAGTGAATTCTCTTCCTTCCTCAAGTATTTGCCTCAATTCTTCAATCTTTTCCCCGATATTGGTTGATGAGGAGCATTCCCCCGGGCTGATCAGATCTCCAACCTTCATGGTAACTATTTGGCTTGCTTTCTTCAGCCAGTCTTCAACTCTGTTCCAAGCAATCTTTCCAGGTTGCCTACGCTGAGCCTTCAAATCTGCCTCAATTTTTTCCTTTAAGTGCTTCACCTCCTTTTGCTTATCTTCGAATACACTCGCACGATAAAGGATTGAGTGATCATCCACAACCAAAATCTCACGAGCATTAGCGTAGTTTTCCCCTCGCCTAAGTATCCCCTCTTCCAG